TTCTGAGGAAAGCTCGTATTTACTGTGAGCCCGCGTCGCATGTATGATTCGCGAGCGGGGTGTCTGTTTAGTATGTTGCCCGCGTCGCATGTATGATTCGCGAGCGGGGTAATTGGATCTCCTTTTCAGAGTTCGTTTCCCTTTTGTATCGCGTTCGAAGTGGTAGCCTATTGGCACATTGTGGCATAATATGAGACTTTTGGTCACGTCCGAGGTGACTTATTGCCTGAGCAGCTCGTACTGGGTGAGATGAGATTGTCAGATCTAGGATCAGTGCAGTCGGATTATATGAAGTATATTAAAGAGCAACGATCATTATTTGGTTCAGAGTGAGGTAGTGGTTCTTGTCAGAAGTATAGACTCAATGATTGTTGACTCAGCAGCTGGTTATAAATTTCTACACATCTTTTCCGTCGTGGCGGTATTGTAAGAGTTAGAATAAGACCTATGCATGTCATGAGGTACAATGGGAGCATCAGATTCGTGGAATTTCGACTAAGTCGATCAGAAAGTGTTATTGTGGTCCGGTGAATAAAGTGATGCAAGCTGTGAATTCAGCAAAATTGTGCAGTCGTGCTTGGGCACAGCGTGTAGTGATTGATATGGTGATCGTATGTTGGAAACAGGCTTGGCAGAAAATTCCGGATGTTGGAATTGGACTCTAAGGCTTATTTGCTTGAATAAAAGGGAACATCTTCAGAATTGATCGAGCTAATGTGCTCAACTGAGTTGTGGTAGCACGGGAAGGTGCATGAGGTGTTAAACAGTGATTTCATACTACTTCAGTGTAGTTCTCAGCACGTTCGAGGACGAACGTACGTTTAAGTGGGAGAGAATGTAACGACCCGATCAGTTGTTTTGAGCTCTAGCGCGTCGTCAGCAGTCTGAGGCCATGAACAACTTCATTTTAGGTATTATGACTTGTACGCGTGGTCGGAATTGAATTTCGGGAAGTTCAGAGTTGATTTGGGAAGAGAATTCTTATTTTGAAAGCTTAAAGTTGAAGGAATCAACTAAGATTAGAATTTTGAGTAAACGACCTCGGAATCGGGATCTGAAGGTTCCAGCAGGTTCGTATGGTGATTTCGGACTTGGGCGTATGTCTGGATCGAGTTTTGGATGACCCGGGAGCGTTTTGGCGCCTATTGTGGAAGTTAGCATTTTGGAAGAAATTTCATAAGTTTGGCTTGAATTGCATTTCAGCGTTATCGATGTCCGTTTTTGATTCCGAGTCTGGGAGTAGCTCCATATGGTGATTCTGGAGTTGGGAGCGCGATCAGAAGCGAATTCGGAGGTCATTGTGAAGCCATTTGGTTAAAGTTAGAAACTTGAAGGTTTTTGAGAAGTTTGACCGGAAGTGAACTTTTTGATATCGGGGTCGGAATCCGATTCCGGAAGTTGGAGTAGGTCCGTAATGTCAAATATGACCTGTGTGCAAAATTTGTGGTCAATCGGATAGATTTGATAGGTTTCGGCATCGAAAGTAGAAGTTTGAAGTTCTAAAGTTCTTAAAGCTTGAATTGGAGGTTGATTCATGGTTTTAGCGTTGTTTGATGTGATTTGAGGCCTCGAGCAAGTCCGTAACGTGTTTTGGGGCTGGTTGGTATGATTGTTTGGGGTCCCGGGGGGCCTCGGGTGAATTCCGGATGGTTAACGGATCGGAAATGGGATTTTGGAAGGGCTGATCTTGCTGGTTGCTGTCATAACCGCACCTGCGAGAAAGGGGCCGCAGGTGCGGAGCCGCAGAAGCAGCTAGGAGGCCGCATGTGCGGATTTTGGTCTGGAGCAAAGGGACCGCAGATGCGGTCAGGGTGCCGTAGAAGTGGGACCGCACCTGCGGAAGAAGGAGCGCAGAAGCGGAAGAGGGGCAGCCTGGTGAGGACCGCAGATGCGGTACTGGAACCGCACCTGCGGAACCGCAGAAGCGGTCTGGAAGCCGCAGGTGCGGAAAGAGCTGGAGGCAGAATGTTGTTTTAATGTCGGGTTTTGGCCATTTCCTATCATATTTTCTTGGCTTGGGGGCGATTCTTGAAGGGTTTAAGAGAGGATTTTCATCATCAATGATAAGGTAAGCTAATCCCACCTATTTTGAGTTAAATACATCAATTATGTATGAATTTGAGCATGAAATTTGTAGTAAACTTGGGGTTTGAGGGAAAACCTAGAAAACTAGCATTCTTAAAATTTAACCACGATTTTGGGGATGAAATTAAGAGAAAATCATATATTTGAGTTCGTGAGTTCATGGGTAAACTTTATCATCGAGAAATTTCGGAATCCGGGCACGTGGGCCCGAGGGCATTTTTGTCAGCTCTTCGATCGGGGTTAGGAATTGTTATAAATTGGATTATAATGAGTACCTTAGCATATATTAATGGGTTTACATAATTATTGACTAGTTTTGGAGCGTTGTGCATCGATTCGAGTCTTCGGAAAGGCATGGAATGCGGGTTATGGATCTTCGGAGCGGGGTGAGTCTCCTTTGTAACCTTGTAAGAGGAATTGTCCCCATAGGTGAAATAATTGATTATGTGCTCCTATTTGTGGGGGCTATGTACGCACGAGGTTACGAGAGTCCGTGCGTAGCTACTATTGTACTATTGTCCGGGTAGTTAGGACCCAAAAGCATGCTATACTTGGATTATTTGTGAACCTATTGATAGCTTGAATTGCTTAAGAACATTGAATTAGTAAATGAATTTCTAAAAGGATTAAACTTCATTTTTCGTAAATCGTTAAAAGGGAATTAGCCTTTATTTGGATAAATGTTCCCTGATAAATTCGCAATTGGCCATTTGAGCTTGTATTTCTATGTGTACCTGCGTCGCATGTATGATTCGCGAGCAGGGTATTTGTTTATTTTATGTTGACCGCGTCGCAGGATAGTTCGCGAGCGGGGTAATAGATGCATCTATGGTTCGCGCCGTTCGACCCTCGGCAGTGCACAATTTATTTTTTGTTGGAGTCCGTACGCCTCGGCATGATTTACGCATGCTTTTATTGCTTCCTTGAACTTATTGAAGTTGTTATTGCCTCTTCATGGCTTGAGAATATTTTGATAAATAATGAAAAGGAAATTTTGGGAAACTTCCTATAAAAGAAATAATTGTTTGCTTGTTTCCTCCTATTGCATTAAAAAATCATGTTTATAAGAGTCCACGATTTAATGACATATTGACATCGTTATTGGACTACTAGTAAGTGTCGAAGTTGACCATCTCGTCTCTACTTCTTCGAGATTAGACGGGATACTCATTGAGTACACGTTGTTTTCGTACTCATACTACACTTCTGTGCATTTTTGTTGCACAGGTATATGTAACTCTAGTGGCCTACTGGGCGTAGCAGCACGGATGATTCGGGGACTAGGTGAGTTGCATTATTCGAGGCGGCCCGCAGCTAGTATAGTCCCTTCCAGTATATTGTATTTACTTTCTGTCCACTGTATTCCGGACGGATGTTGTATTATATTATTTCTTCGAAATTGCTCATGCACTTGTGACACCGGGTTCTGGGATGGTTTTGCAACATTTTGTATTAATTGCTTATTATTTAATTTGAATTGAAGCAGTTGCCTCTTTACTTATGAAATTAGAAGGAAAATCTGGGTTTTCAAAATTGTCTAAATTGGAATCTAATTAAGTATTTTAGTTGGCTTGCCTGATAGCAGTGTCCGGCGCCATTACGACTCTTAGTGGATTTTGGGTCGTGACAATCAATGAGATCAAGAAAATTCTTTTGGTTCACTTGTGAAAGATATCAGTCTACGCAAATAATTTTAATAGAACATCATGTAAACTCTACAACTAAAATGTCATGCTTATAGTTAAAGGGAGTAGGAGGAGGAAAACGACAAAGGGAACTTTTCCTTCTGTGTTGCATTTATTTTAACTGAACAGATGTATGTGTGTTCAAGCACCTTTTGCATTTTCTTACTTTAAGGATCACTTGTTTACATTTTTGGCTTGTGTTTCTGGAAGACTTGAAGTTTCTTATTGTTTTTTTCTTTTTGATAAGTAAGATCATTGTTCTTCTTTGTTTGTATGATGGAAGTTCTTAAGCTGCACAGGTCCTAACATTCCATGTGATACCACTTGCCATATAATTTCTATAGAAGTTACCTGCTAACTGATTTTTGTTACCTAATCTTTTTTAACTTCTAATTTATGACCCTTATCCAAAAAAAAAAAAACTTCTAATTTATGACTTCATTGGATTTATGTTAGGTTGATATGCAAAAATTAGAGTCAAGAAGAGGACAGTCTTGTGCAAAGGGTGTTGCCATAGAGATTTCAGTTGCCTCTTTAATTTGTACGGAGGCTCACTGAGTGAACTGTTGTGAATCAATGTTCTTGTAGTGGCATTGGACTTTATATATAGTTAGCATTCAGCTTGTTCTGAAGATGTACAAGGAGAAAAATTTATATTCTATGAGAACCATTACCAAATGGTGGTGTAAGATTTATAAAAATAATGTATAAGTGACTCTTTTGTTTTAATTCAAATATCTTCTGTAGTGTATGACATTGTAATATCAAAATTATATAAATGATTGTGAAATGTATGAAAAGTTAATGTTCTCTATGTATATAAAGAAAAAAAGTTGCTGACCAAAGATAATTTACCTGACATTTCTATGTATGAAGAAATGACGAATAATATTTGCTGACATTTCTTCATATGTCGCAACTTTATTGCGCTTATATTCAAATAGGCAATATTTTGATAAAAGTCGACGATAAATGTCACTATCTATTTGCCAACATTAATTTAAATGTCGGAAAATTTCCGACACCGAAATTTACGACATTTGATATAATCAAATAAATATCGGTAAATAATTTTGTGATATTTATGTGACTTAACACAACATTTATAAAATGTCGTCGTAGTCCTATTTTCTTGTAGTGATGGCTTCTTTATTTAGGTCAATTGAATTTTGAGTCATTATAAATGTTTGTAAAGTTATTTAAAGCAATATCCGTGCATCATAAACTTCCTTTTCTTTCCTTACTGTTCAATGGAGATGTTTTACTCCTTTCTTTCATTGCTTCTCCTTTTGTCCTCCCTCGTTATTCTAGTTCGACAATGGAGAAACAAAAACCAAAGGTTGCCACCAGGTCCGTGGAGACTTCCCCTTATTGGAAGTCTGCATCACTTAATCGGACGAGACGTTCCACATCGTACTCTTAGAAGTTTAGCACAAAAATATGGGCCTCTTATGTACTTGCAACTTGGGCAAGTTCCTACGATTATCGTATCATCACCTAGTATTGCGAAACAAGTTGTAAAAACTCACGATCTCGCCTTCTGTAATAGGCCACAATCTACATCCACAAACATCATATTTTACAATCAAAAAGACATTGCATTTGGCCAATATGGTGAATACTGGAGACAAATGCGTAAAGTTTGTACAATAGAACTTCTTAGTGCGAAGATGGTCAAGTCATTTGGTGCAATTCGACAAGATGAGCTTTCAAGTCTCATTTCATCAATCCGTTCAATGAGGGGTTCTCCAGTCAATATAACAGAAAAAATAGTCCAGTTTACAAACTCAGTTACTTGTAGAGCAGCCTTCGGGAAAATGTTCAAAGATCGAGACGAGTTAATAAAACTTATCAAGGAAGTACTCTTATTAGGAGCGGGATTTGATGTGGCTGATTTGTTCCCTTCATGGAAATTACTTCACAAACTAAGTGGTGCGAAATCTAGATTGGTGAATGCACATCAAAAGGTTGATAAAATTATGGAGGACATTCTAAATGAGCATATTGAAAATAAAGAAGCAGGGAACAAGGGAATTGGTGAGTTTGGAGGTGAAGATTTGGTTGACATTTTCCTAAGAATTAAGGAGAACGCTGAACTACAATTTCCAATCACAAATGACCACATTAAAGCAGTGATTTTTGTAAGTTTGCTCTCATCTCATAATCTTTGTTCACCCTACAGCATTTTTAGTAGTCCTTATTAATCCTAATAATATAATGAGGTTTGATTTTTTACTAGTAGTTCCTAAAAACACAAGATAGTTGCAACAAATTACTTGTCTGAGGGAAAAACATTAAGTTGTATCCACTAATACATACTCAAAGTTGGAAGTTTATAGCTCCAGAGCCCTTTAACGATTTCTCCTTAATATTTTAGTACCCAAATTTTATTAGATTGTGTTTTGTTGACTTTATTTTATTTGTTTGTTGATCGTAGGACATCTTTACTGCTGGAACAGAAACTTCATCTACAACTATTATTTGGGCATTATCGGAAATGATGAAGGACCCAAATATTATGGCTAAGGCCCAAAGTGAAGTGAGACAAGTCTTCAAGGGAAAGAAAAGTTATGGTGAAGAAGATCTTGAGAAGTTGACATACCTAAACTTAGTGATTAAGGAGACACTAAGGCTTCATACTCCAATTCCTCTTTTGCCCAGAGAATGTAGGGAGCAAACATATATTGATGGATACAGTATACCTCTTAGGACTAGAGTGTTAGTCAATGCATGGGCACTTGGGAGAGATCCCGAAAGTTGGCATGATCCCGAAAATTTTATACCAGAAAGATTTCAGAACTCTTCTATTGACTATATGGGAAATCACTTTGAGTTTATTCCATTTGGTGCAGGAAGAAGGACTTGTCCAGGAATGCTATTTGGTTTAGCTAATGTTGGACTTCCATTGGCGCAATTACTCCCCCATTTTGAATGGGAGCTCCCATATGGAACTAATCCAAAAGATTTGGATATGACTGAAACACATGGATTAAGTGCAACAAAACGAAAAGATCTATATTTAGCTGCCACAAATCATTATAAAGAATTCTGATATGTTGTTTGAAATGGTGAAATGTCATGAGCACGACTTACACAAATTCTTCGTCTCCATCATTTTGAAGAGCGCCAAGAAAATGGCCAATGAATAACATCATCCATAGTTGGTTGCACGGTTTTGCTTCAATCCGTCAGACCAAATAATCTGTTCCCCAATTTATCTTTTAGAGCTTTGGTTTTATTTTCTCAAAGACATATTTATGCTCTATAACCCAGTTCTAATTAAATATGATATTCCTTTACCAAAAAAAAAAAAAAGATTTAAAACTGATGAAAGTTAACAAGTAAATTGATTTTGGTTAATAGTAATCTATATCTATATCTCTACCTATCTACCTATCTATCTATCTATCTATATCTATATCTATCAATATCTATCAATATCTATCTATCTATCTATCTATCTATCTATCTATNCACAATCTGGTCGGGAGCTCCATACTGACTTCTTATGAGGATAGTACTCTTCTAATTAGCTTTATCGTAAATCTGTTATAGAATATGACTATTGTACTATCTATCTTGTACATCTGATATTAAGGGTGATTCTGCAATGTTCTTAATCATGATTTCTATAATTATCTTGGTCTAATAATCAGACTTCTGATTTACTTCGATGATGTAACTCTTTAGTTTCCTCTTCTCTCTCAGCCTTTATGTAGGCTTAAGCTATCTTCCTATCTTCGGCTTACGGTATTATTTATTACTTAAGTCATATCACTAGCAATTTGGCAGTTAACCGTACACATTTCAATATTTAACAAAACGAGCCATGGTTAAGATTTCAGACATATATATGTGATGCGCACGTTATGCCGAGGTCGACGGCCCGATCCAATAGAAAATAATTGTGCACTACCAGAGGGTCGAATGGTGCGAACCATAGATGCATCTATTTCTACCGAGGCAATCGGCCCGATCCACAAATATCAATTTAATTCAAGGAAGCACATGAATGCGCATTTATTTCCAAAGTAATTCATACAAGTGTCCAATGAAGGTATACCATCGCTTACCTCTTTTCCAAGTCTTTAGCATATCCTAAGTGATCACATTAGCAATAAAATAGGGAACGATTACAATATAGCATGATACGGGCCCTAAACTACCCGGACAATCAACATAATAGTAGCTACGCACGGACTCTCGTCACCTAGGGCGTACGTAGCACCCGCATTTAACAACAAATTACTCAATATATTATACCTATGGGGACAATTTTCTCTTACAAGGTTAGAAAGGAGACTCACCTCGCTCCAAAGTGCACCTTCAATGCCAAGAAAAAGCCCAAGCCCTCAATTCGGAGCCGAACGATCCCAAACTAGTTAAACGAAGTGGGAACTAGTTAATATAGACTCATAAGATTGAATTCTAGCTATTTATGCAATTTCCCAACCATTAACACACGTTTACTAAAATCCGACCCCGGGCCCACGTGCCCGGATTCCGAAATTTTTCGAAGGAAGTTGTTCTCTACAACCTAAGGATCACTAATATATGATTTCTAATCGATTCCATAACAAATTTTGTGGTTTAATCTAAGTTTTATTAAAACCTTAGGTTTAGCTCTAACCCTTTGATTTATCCTAAGATCTAGTGTTTAATACTACCTAAAATACAAGTATTAAAATAAGGATGGGTGGAATAAACTTACCTCTTGATGCTAAGTGAAGTCCTTCTCTCAAAAGCTCCCAAATCGCCCAAAGGAAGAGTGAAAATGTCATAAAAATGACTTAGAGCCCGTCTTTAATGAACCTCACTGGTTCAGTGATTTCCGCATCTGTGGTCAGGGGACCGCATCTGCGGTCCCGCATCTGCGAGAACGTGACCGCATTTGCGAAAAGGGGAGGGAAGGCTGGAACCGCATCTGTGGTCTCAGGGCCGCATCTGCGGAACCGCTTCTGCGACTTAGGAGCCGCATCTGCGAAAATGGCCTGGTCGCCCTGGGCCACTTCTGCGATGGTAGGGCCGCATCTACGGTCCCGCATCTGCGGTCCAAGAACCGCAGATGCGGTTATGACAGAAGCAGTAGTTCTTCAGCCCTCTCTCAAAATTTCCACTTCACTCGAGCCTCGTCCGATTGATGCTCGGGGCTCCCGGGCCCCGCCCGAACATACCGACAAGTCTGAATCACGAAGCAGACCTACTCGAACCTTCGGAACACCCGAAACAACGCTAAATCTAGAATTCACCCCCTAAAACCAAATGAATCAAACTTATGAACTTCAAGTTCTTAATTTTCTTCCAACGGGCCAAAACGCTCTAAAACTACTCGGATTGACACCAAATTTTACAGGCAAGTCTTAAATGATATTTCGGACCTGTACCAGGCCTCGGAACCAAAATACGAGCCCGATACTTAGGAAATCAATCACTAATTAGTTTCTTTAAATCCTTAAAACATTAGATTAACAATTTCTAATAAAAATTCATTACTCGAGCTAAGGCCCTCGAAATCCGATTCCGGGCATACGCCCAGATCCCATATTTTTCTACGGATCCTCCGGGACTGTCAAATCACGAATTCGGGTCCGTTTGCTCAAGATGTTGACCAAAGTCAAACTTAGCCTTTTAAAGAAATCCTAAGGAATCAAATGAGCATATTTCACCAAAACTCTTCTAAATCCCGAACCAACCGTCCCCGCAAGTCGTAAATTAGCTAATGGAAGCACGGAAAGTTTTATTTAAGGGAACGGGGTTCAAAAAGGCAAAACGACCAGGCGAGTCGTTACAGAGTATGAAAACATAAGGTGGCTTTATATATTTAGTGGGTAAAATTATAATTTTGTTAAAACTTATTAGTCTATCGGTTAAACTGTTAATAAAATTGGGCAAACCGAGACCCGAACCGTTAACCCAATAGTCAAATAACATTAAACTGTTATCGAACTATTTACCAATAATCCGATATCCATAACCCAATAGTATTTTATCGGTTCGGGCTATCGGTTATACCCGATATATGCCCAACCCTAGCTAGTAGTATTTATGTGAAGAGATAGTAAAGGTCAATATGGTCAATTTCATTGCTAATTTATGTTAAAAGGTAAATTTCTTAATCTGTGTGAAAACAACCAAAAAATCACTTATTATAGTTGAAGAAACTGTACACAGTTGAAGAATTAAAAATACACAGTTGAAGAAATTGTTTTAATGCAATGACTATTTATTTCAATTGTGTATTTTTACTTTTTCAGGAATATCTGTAAAAAAAAAAATTTAGAGCACCATAAATTAGAGTTATATAAAAAATTATAGCTGAAATAATTAATTTCAAACTATGTATCTTTATAACTTTTTAGATGCCTTGACTATTTATTTCAATTGTATAAATCTTTATTTTAAGGTCAAATTCAAAAAAAGATTAACTAAAACTTTATTATTTTTAGCCAAATAAAAAAATTAGCCTAAATATTGTAGTTCTATCTAAGTTTTATCATAAATTGTATTCCAAAAAAAATTATCTAAAGAAGTAACATACTTAAAAAGGTAAAAATATATTTTATTTTTGAAAAAAAATGCCACATATATAGCAAAAATCCATGTGGCAAGCGAGTGCACCCACTGTTTGCCACATCAGCGTCTAGGGAGGGGGGGGGGGTAATGGCTCTCAAAAGGCCAAGTTGAGGGAGCTAATAAGATCACGAATAGTTTAAGGCTGTAACTAATAATCCGTGTCAAGTTTAGGGGGATTTTAAGGTATTTTGCCGAAATTTTATTGTATCGTATCGTTAAATGCGTTGTTACGTAACGATGAAATTTACCATTTTATGTAACAACCGATTTGGTGTGGTCGCGTCGTTAACTTGTCTTTTTCTCTCATTTCACCCTTTATTGTTATTAAATAATTTTATTTATCATTTATCCTACATTTCTATATAATAGTTTTACCCCATATCATAGTTTTTTTTTTTATAATATTGCAAGTTTATTCTTCATATTGCCTGGTGTGATATCATAAAACGATAACAAACAATACAATATATCCAAACATTGTATTCGTCAAACGATACAATACAATACAATACGATATAATACATTATGAAAGGATATAAAACAAGCATCCAAACAAGTTGTTAATGTCATGTGTTCGTGAAACAATGGCATCTTAACTTTTATTCTAATTATTTTTATGTCGCAATTTTTATTTGTTTCATATGTAACGACCCGACTGGTCGTTTTGCTTTCTAGAACCCCGTTCCCCTGAATAAGACTTCCCATACCTGCTTTTACTGATTTATGACTTGTAGGGATGGTTGGTTCAGGATTTGGAAGAGTTTGGGTTGAAATCGGAACACTTGGTTCCTTAAGGTTGGCTTAAAATGCCAAGTTTGACTTCGGTCATTATTTTGAGTAAACGATCTCGGAATCGGGGTTTGAAGGTTCCAACAGGTTCGTATGATGATTTTGAACTTGGGCGTATGTCTAATGGGTTTTGGATGACCCGGGAGCATTTTGGAGCCTAATAGTGAAAGTTGATTCCTTAAAGATTTTAAAGTTCTTAAATATTTGGTTTGGAGCGGGTTTTTGTGTTATCGAGGTCTGGAAGGAATTCCGGGACCAGGAATAGTTCCGTATTGTCATTTAAGACCTGTACGTAAAATTTGGTGTCAATCCGAGTAGTATAAGTGTGTTTCGTTGCATTGAATGTGAATTGAAGAACTTGAAGTTCATAAGTTTGATTCAATTGGTTTTAGGGGGTGATTCTTAGATTTAGCGTTGCTTCGGGCATTCCGAGGGTTTGAGCTAGTCTGTTTTATGATTTTCAACTTGTCGAGGCTCGAGTTGAGTTAGGAAATTTTTGAAGGAGCTGAAGCTCCAGGTTGCTGTCATAACCGCACCTGCGGTTGGCCAGCCGCAAGTGCGAGACCGCAGAAGCGGTCGACCCTTTGTAGGTGCGGCCCAAGGGGAGGAGCCCAGGAACCGCAGATGCGCCCCTCTTCCGCAGAAGCGGAACCACAGAAGCATCCCCAGGACCGCAGATGCGGTCCCAGCCAGTCCGGTCCAATTCCGCAAATGCGCACCTTCCCTCGCAGAAGCGAGACCGCTGATGCGGTCCGCTAACCGCAGGTGCAGAAATCGCTGAAGGCAGTGCCTTCATTTAATACGTGAAATGTGTCATTTTTAACACATTTCATTCTATTCTTGGGCGATTTGGGAGCTTCCAAA